AGCTTCTCTCTAAATATTGTACAACATTAAAAGCACCTTGTATTGTTATTCACAGCCGCTGTCCTTTTGCCCCTGTTGTCCTCTGCCATCCCCTGTGCAGAACACTGCCATTGTTACCTGTTTTGATAATCACCTCATGCAGCAATGAATCATCCTATTTAGTAGCTACATTGATTTGATTAGCTTTCTCTCTGGGTTACAGCAACCTTAATGTTTTTATAGTCTTACTTTATTAGTTTTTCTTAACTGCATAACTTATCTTTAATGTCTCCCTTTGCCTTATAAAGTTTAGTAGTTAAAGATCCACGCTAAGGATCAAGAGTTTAATTATTTCAGTGTAGTTTGAGGTTGTTTTCAGTGAAGTAACTTGTTATAATGTGTGGTGTTAACTCTCTCAGCACGAGGTAGGACAGATTGGTCCTCAGAATACTCAGCTGCCAGAGATTTTCCTGGTTCCCTCCCTTCTCAGGGACTGTGCCTTCATCGCATGCCCTGTGCCTGGTCGGTGCTCACTTGCTAGGACTGCAGAGGAAGAAGACAGTCAAGACCAGCGCTATCTAGTCTGCCTTGCTTTTTTCTCTCTGGCCTGGCCATCATTCTTAGGTCTTCTGCTCAGCTCTCTTGATTGAATTGCAAATAAATGTGTTTTGTTGTTGTTGTATTTGTTTTGAGGCTACTAGAGAAGTGGCAGTTCTCATGAACTTGAACAGAACCCTGTCTTTCTCCTGGATCATGACCGGCTTTGGGAAGGATGCTTTCGGAGAAGTGAGACGATGCTTACCTTCCTAGGTGCATAGTAATAGTAACTAACCAATAGAGTGATACCAAATCGAAGGCAGATCACCCTCACGTCCACATATTTTCACGAACGTGCCATGCTAGGAGCACTGTGGTTAGGCCATGCAGTAGCGCCTTACTTTTTTTTGTTGTTGTTTTTTTTTGGTTTTTTTTTTTTTTTTTTTTTTTTTTTTTTCTCTCGGTACCAGGAATCGAACTCACGACCTTGTGCTTGCCAGGCAGGCGCTTTGCTGCTGAGCTAAATCCCCAGCCCCAATAGGGCCTTACTTGATACATAAGAACAAAGTAAATTGTATCTAGAAATATCCATTTGGAGGGTTCTACATCTCTGCACTAGAAGGCTAAGATATGAACCTCTAGCTAACTGTTTCAGGCAGCAAATGTGTATGAATGGAAAACAGAGTAAGTTCAGGGGGAGGGGAATCTGCTGCGGAGTGGACAGGGAAGACTTTCCAAAGAAATGACCCAAACCCTGCAAGATGTTTGTTACTAACTCTGCCTCCACCCTTTCCGCTTCTTACCATAAGTGGATCCCAGCAGTTGCCTTTGCCTCCTGAGAATAGGGATATTTAAGGAGAGCCTAATAATCCAAATCCTCATACTTTGTGCATTTCTACCTAAAACAGCTATTTCAGAAAAACTCTCAATTCCAGAGATCTTCCTAATAGAAAACTCTTAGCTTCTCTCCAGTGAGTACAGCTGTCCCGCTTGCCTGACTGTTTGTATTGTCCTGCACTTAGATCCTAACTACACGTGACCTGGGATTATGCATTTCTTACCCTTATTTTCTAATTCCCTGTGGTAAGACTAGCCTGACTCTTACACTGTAATCTAGTCACTTACAAGAGGTCCCGTATTTGTTGAAGGTGGTGGGTTAGCCTTCCAATGGCCCAAGCGGCACTGGTTGTCTCGGGCACTCCCGTCCGCTTCCTTTCCCTGGTGTCAGTTCCTGTTCCAAGCACGTTTGCTTCTGCTTCTTTTCCCTGATTAGTCCATTTCCGAGGCACATTAAATACACTTATAGGGGAATATCAAGACTTCCTGTGAGAATATGGATTTTCTTTGTGACAGCCCATAGGCATAAACCAGGAGATGCACAGGAGACCTGACCAGGTACAAAGAAAGCCTTCATTGACTGTACCCAAAATCCAGTTAATACAGCTTTACTTTTTCATTTAGTCACTGCTTTCAGCTACTGTGCTTTAACTCATTGATATGATAAAGCGTAGCGCAGATTCATTTGAACTCATTTTTTCCAGTTCACTAAAAATACTCTGATTTGACTTGGCTTTAAACAGCTAATGAACCTTTTCTCTGCTGATTCTTATGTGGTGGTGTGTTTTCACTGTGTGACCCTTAACATATACCAGCGATGGGAAACCATGTAGAGCTCTCGGTGATACACACAGCTCACCGCAGCACACATATGTTCCACACCACTGGTACATACTTTCTTTTTACCTTTGTCTGTGATCCGCATTTCATTCTATTTAGCAGACACTGTTTGCTTTGTAATTTTGACAAAAACAGTATGTTGACATATGTGGAAAGAATATATAATGGCAAAATTATTCTTATGTGGAACTCTAAACATTGTAACTTTTTTTCATAGACTAGCACCTTGAAATATAATTCCAGGAAAATACAGAAGACTTCTCATCATTAATGGCGTAGAAGGTCATTTATTTCACAGTAACTATTTCTTGACTTTACACTCTGTGTCCACTATATAGCTCTGGGTCTGCAGAGCTAGCAGTGAACAAGTCTGGTAAGGACCCCACCTTAGTGAGCACACACTCTAGCAGGGGTGGCAGTGAGGTGCAGATGACAGGTGGATCCCATACCCACAGCCAGTAGAGATGGCAGTGGGTTTTCTGATTCTTCTTCTCTCTTTACCTTGTTGTAAGGCCACACCTCCAACCTCACTACTTGTAGCGTTGAGTCTGATTTAGTCTCAGGTTGCTCCCATCATCTAGGAAGAGGTGTAGAAGGGCCTTGTTCTAACATAAAAGACAAAAGTGGTGCCTAGTGAGGTCAAATTTCTCATTGTTACACTGAAATTAAGTGAGCTTTCCTCTTAGAATTGTAAAGATAAAGAGTCACTCCTTTATTCAGAAAGCAGTTGTTGAGCACTGTATCATCCAAGGTTCTATTATGATTCAGGCTTTATAACTCCTTCATGCATGTCTTCTACTCTATTGGGAGAGACAGAGACATAAAACAAATGATTACTGGCACTCACTACTACTAATATTATTACTAAAAAACTTAGGTGAGCATCCTAGAAGCAGTCTGCATAGGATGTTTATAGCTAACTCGCCTAAGGTGACACCTGAACTGAGTCTTAAAGGTGGTAGGAAGTACAACATGCTTCATTCGTTCAGCACGTGTTTACTGCGCACCTAGGTGCTGCTGTAGGCACTATAGACACAGCAGACAACTACGCAAAGTCCTGCCCACTTGTATAGAGAAACACAACAAACAGATAGACAAATAAATATATTTAAGGTACAGATGGGTATAATACCAAGCAATACAGTAGATTATGAAAGCGAACCGAGAGTTCAAAGGGATGCTATTTAAATAGAGCGGTCGGGAATGTCTTCTCTAATAAGAGACTATTTGAGCAGAATCCTGAATGTCAGTTAAGAAGAAGAGAAACTAGATTCTGAAGATGCTTTAAGAGGAAAATGACATAGCTAGATTTTTGTCAGGTTTGGTTGAGTTTGGCTAGGTTTCCTTTGGTTCTTGGAAAATCCTCTCTAGCAGCAGTGTGCCAGATGAATATAAAGGAGAAGCACAGAAAGCCAAAGGAAAAGGTTATTGTGGTAATTTAAAGAAGAAATTATGTGGGCTATATTGGATCAGCCAGATGAGAAGCTCGCTAGGGTGGAGATGGTAGAGTTCAGATGGTGTAGGAGAACCGGTATATGTATAAGACTTGGTACGTTAGGGATTATAAGAGTTCAGGCAGTGAGCTGAGGAGTACCTGAGTTTAAGTTTGGGTGGCTGAGCGGGTGATAATACCGTTGACCAGCTCAGAGGTCCCTAGAGAGAGGGTAGGTTTATAGATGCAGGAAATGAATTGTATTTGAGGCAGTGAAAATCAGAAGAGAAGTCATGGCTGAAATACCAGTTTGGCTGTTACTAGCATTGCACGTAAATTTTAAAAGGAGAAGGAACAAAAAGAGTAACCAGCATTGTTGGATACTGCAGGGCAGTTTAGTAAGATGAGGACTTTCAAGACACCACTGGATTTGACAGCTGGAAGGTCATCAGTGACTTCCCAAAGACCAGTTTCAGTAGATGGGGGTGCAGACAGTGCTGGGTTAAACAGTGACAGGGTAAGAGGTTGAGATTGTACAGACAAAGTCCCTGTCCTCTTCTCTCTTGGAAGCTTTGAACTTTAGGTCAGATCTTTTCTTTCCCCTCCCTTCCTACCTTTCTCCACCCAGGGTCTCAGACTGAATTTCTGAGCTAGGAGCATGACTGGGGTGGACCAGTTAAGATCCTGGGGTCTGCAATGACAGGGAGTCCATGGACACAGGAGCCTCATGCTGATGAGTCCATATTGCAAGGAGCATCCTCAGTGGGGGTCTCTGTTGGCCTTGGTTACTGGACCAGGGAACTAATGTAGGCTGAGAAGGAAAGCAGCTACAGGGCTGGTGGGAGAAACATGGAATTAGTTGAGAGAGCCCACCCCAGAGGGAGTGGAACGCTGTGGGGGTGGGGGTGGAATCTGAGGCGGTAAACCGTGCTAACTAGAAAGCCAAGCACAGGTGTGTAGGTTTCTAAGCGCGCAGGAACTGGAGCCTGCGAAGGAGGGCTGTTGGTAGTGCTGGGGCAGACAGTAGTTGATGAATGGAGGCGGAACCCAGCAGTGTCTGGCCTGCAGATGTTTCATACCCATTTGTGAACCCCGCAGGGCAGTTCACAGCAGGTGGGAGGGGTTCCACTTAGGGATAGGATGGAGGAAACGACTAAGGGATCCCAGCCGAGCTTGCTTGCACCTTGGTGGAAGATGAGAGAGGTCAGAGCCAGGGATCCTCTTGCTTAACCCCAAGGAACCAGTGAGTGGGTGTCTTAAGCCTTCCCGCCTCTGCACAAACCAGCCCGCGGCCTCAGTTTCTCCTGCGAGCAGCGTCATCTCCGCCCCCTGCAGGGCGGGGCTCGAGGACGAGTCTGGTGGTTGTTCCAAAGCCTCGCGGGCCATCGGTTCCTACCAGACTCTTACTGGGGGTTGGCGTGCTACCCCATGGCTGGACACAGGCCCCCAAACTTACACCCTCCTCCAGACAGTGGAAGGGGTGGGTCTTCCGGACCCGGGCCGATGCCCCTGTGGGTTGATATTCCAAGCTGGTTGAGCGTCCAGGTGGCCCCTGGCAGAATGATGGTCTGGCCAGGGATCGGCCCAACCATCTGCCGCAGCCCAGAGGTGTGGGGCGTCCCCTTGGGTACCCCGCCTTATGAATTCCTGGGCGGGGTGGGCCCCAGCAGAGCTGGCCAGGCAGAGCCCTGGCTCCCGGGCCCCTCCGAGCCCACTGGCCTCAAACCCTACATTGCCCTGCTGAGCACCCCGAAGTTGGCGCTGCCCGAGGACGTCTCGGCCATAGAGAAGGAGATGGCACAACTGGCCAAGGAGCTGCGGCAGAAGAGGCTGACCCTGGGCTACTCACAGGCGGATGTGGGCGTCGCCGTGGGCGCGATGTTCGGCGAGGTGCTCAGCCAGACGACCATCTGCCGCTTCGAGTCCCAGCAGCTCAGCCTGGCCAAAATGTGGAAGGTGGGGCCGCTGCTGAAGATGTGGCTGGCGGAGATGAACGTCAAGAACCACCAAGGCCTCTGGAAAATGGAGATGATTCTGCAGCAGGGCCGGAAGCGGAGGCAGGCGCACAGGGAGACAAGACTCCGGAACGACCTGGAGAGGCTCTTCCTGCAGTGTCCGCGCCCCACACCCCAGCAGATCAGCGGCATCGCCGGGCACCTGCGCCTCCGGAAGGAGCTGGTCCGGATGTGGTTCTGCCTTCGGAACCAGAGCTGCGGTCCAGGGACACCCCGTGCCCCGCGGCAGGAGATGGCAGCAGCGGCCGGGCTCCCTTCCCCGGGGCCGCCCGTGTGCTTTCCCCTGGCACCTGGGCTGCATTTCGATCTCCTCCACTACGGGGTGCCGTACCTTACCCCCCTGTACCGCTCCACGCCCTTTCCTGGAGGGGAAGTCCTTCTGTCTGCCCCCGCTGCCTCCCTGGGCCTCCCCAGACTCTCCAGCTGAGGGGAGGGGGGAAAGAAAAGGGGGAAGCCGGCGGCTCCCTGCGAGTTAGGAATACACAGCTGGGTGTGGGCTGGAGTTGTGGAAGAAATTTGGGAGGGAAGTTTATTGATGCTTTGTGGTTTTCCCTTTACTTTAAAAAAAAACCCTGGTTTTGGGTTTTAAGGTATATTACAATATACAAGTGGTTTCAATACTTTGTTTCTGTCTTTATTATTAACTGAAGATTATTGGCTGTTCCACGTGGTGCTCGGGAAACATGGTGTTTAACTTTTGTCCTTATAAATGCAGTATTGGGTGAAAAACGCAAGTGACCAACTGCGGTAGAATACTAGTTTTCATTAAAGCAGAACCCTGAGCCAACACAAATGCAAAACCCGGCATGATAGTTGCGCCTGGTGGAGACTTGACAATGGGCTGGGAAAGGAGTGTCCGAGCCCTTGCTGGGGCAGCGAGCTTTCCCGAAGCTGCCTTTTTCCTAATTCACCTTTTCGTTTCCAGCGCCCCAACTTCTTGTGGTCTCAGCAGCTCAGCTGTCCGCGGTATGCCTCGGGTGGGTTTTTCTCCAGCCACTGTAGTTGCTGTGTCCTCAACCCCTTTGTTCCTGAGCTAGGCCCGCTGCACAGCTGTAGCTTCAGCCCGGGTCCTAGCACACTCCCGTGTTTAGTTCCTTGGGATTGTTCCTTGGGACTCGTTTACACTTTCTTTGGAGCACAGATGGGCTTTTGAGTGGATGTCTGTGATTGTTCATCTGACATTCACTGGTGGTCTTGCCACTGTACATCTTAAATCACTTTTCCTACCTATCTTTGAAGCTGGTCTTTCTCAGTTTACCACTTGCATTTTGGTCAGTTTTGATTATCATATATTAGGGCTGGGGATGTAGCTCAGCGGTAGAGCACTGGCCTAGCATGCCCAAGACTCCAGATTAAATCCTCAGCACCAACAGCGGCAGGAAGTGCTCTTTTTTTCAGATCTGCCACACACCTGCGGGTCCTATTTATACTCTATAGGTATTTTCAAGAGACAAGCCTTTCTACTTTTATTCTACTTGCTGATGTTTTTGTTCCCTAATTAATTTGAGGTTTCATTTTTATGAATAGCTTCCCTACTCTCCTCTGGTTACTTCTATTTCTGTTTTCCTAGTGGCTTTTAGATAGCTCTTACTTTGCTTGTTGTTTTGTTTTTGTTCTTTCCTGGTGGCTTCGTGGAAAACTGCTCCGTGGAGCCCCTAGTGGGCGACAGGGAGACCTACGTCCTGATCTGACCTCGGGTCCATAGCTGCCTTCGCCATCACACAATGTCAGGCATTACTGGGGCCTCTGCTTAGCGTTCTATTCCTGTGGCTGTAGAAAGTCTAACCTTTACCTTCATTTCGGTGTGTGTGTTATATAGCTTAAAATTTGCTATCGTAACCATTTTACGTATAAATTCATTTTATGTGACCAACAGTTACAACATGGGACCATCACCACTCTCCATTTCCAGCATTGTGACCCCCCCAGCTTAAACCCTGTACTTACTGAGCAATAACTCTATTTCCCCATCCCTAGCCCCTAGTGATAAAGCCCACTTTGTCACTCTATGAGTGCATTTATTTTAGACATTGCATATTAGTGGAATCGTTTAATAGATGGCCTTCGGTATCTGGCTTATTTCACTCAGCGTCTTTTCAAGGTTTATGTGTGTTGTGCCACGCATCTGAATTTCATTCCTTTTTATAACTGAATAATATTCCATTGATTTTCTTCCATTAACAGAGAGGCCATCGACACCTGTAATGAGAACAGCTTCACTGGAGTAGTTAATAGAGGCAGATGTACGCAACAGACGAGTCTTCATATTTGTCAGATTTCTCCCACCTCCATGTAATTACCATTAAGAGCACTTACTTTTTCCTGGTTTTCTTACTTTTGTCTAAGAAAACATGAGGTGTATAGATGTCTTCCCTTGTTCCAAACCATTATTTGTTCTTGAATTAGCACCTGCTCTCTGTAATTTCATATTTTGAAATATATAGTCTGTACATTCTTATTACACTAGAACCATATCACAGAAATGATTTTTCAGAACAGCCATTTTTGTTTTACCTTTCTTCTAAAAAGTCTTGCTTACTAAATAGTATTGGTTTTCTTGGCAAAAACTATTCATGATAAATTTGTCTTAGAGTACATAATGGTATCATCTATGTAAAACAGTGCTTTAAAGTGAAAACTACAATGCCATTCCAATAAAGTCCTGGTGGAATGTGGGGTTAGCAGTTTAGATAAAGTGATTCTACACTAAAAGAATGCAATTTAAGAAAACATTTAAGTGAAAGTTGAAGATAGAGTCATGTGACCTTTGCTACTTAAACAGTGTGGTGATGAGAAAAAATATCAGAAACAAATATTTGGCTACTTACTTTAGTGGAATGGGAGCTGGTGCAACCTGTGGAAAGGCAGTTTGGTCATTCATATGAAAAGAATTTAAAATATCCAGTCCCTTTTGGGCCATCATTTCAAATTTTAAGAATTTTTATAAAAGCATAACTGCGTGTGAAAATTTAGCAATAAAATTAATCATTGCAGCAGTTCTAAAAATGAAGCAAGAAGAAATTAAAAACAACATATGTGTTCAGTAGAGGGTTAAGTAAATAAAATGGAATCACATATACAGTTAAAACTGTGTTATAGGAGCACAGTTCTTGACAAACAGAAAATTCAGAGTAGATCCTTGAATGAGGCAAAACAACTTACAAGTTGTTTTGATACCATTTTGATACCATTTTTAAAGGAACAATATACTACATGGTTGAAACACACACACATATAACATTGGTGGTACTCTTTTAGAATTCTTGCTATATATGGTAGTTATTTAATAATCCAAGAAATATGTTTTAGAAAATCATTCTCCTAATTGTGTCTCTAAAATACTAATTCCTCATTTCAAAGCAGTATTTAAAAAACTAAATATAACCACATTATTTTTAGGCACATGTGTAGTTTCCATAAAAGAATGACAGTTCTGCAAATGGACAAACACTGGGTGAGAGAGATAATGCTAAAAATTAAGATTTGAATTATTTTTTTAAAGATCAGATGCCCATTAATGTTAAAGAGCTGCCGTGTGGTTCGGTAAGTGAAAACACCTGCCATATGCCTGTTTTCCTGCACAACATGGTAATTTACAATTACAGTGAGGGTGTTTATGTACCTCTGTGTAGTTAGCCCATATTTAGAATATAATATAAACCCAAATCATTTTCATGTTTCTGAATGTTTATTTTCCAATGTAAAAAAGCACTTGAAAATAGCAAAATCTTGACATTAACATAGCAGAATCTTGTCATTTTTTAGGAAACCAAATGAATATAAATGGAATGTATGGATCTTACAGTTGGAAAGCAGGGCAAAGTCCTGTGAGTACAGCCCCAGACAGTTGAAAGACAAACTGTCATGTGGTAGGGAATCCACCCTAATACCTGGTAAACTCCTTCAAATAAGACCTAAGCATTATCATGGCTGCGCCTGTGAGGACAACCATGACAGGAAGCCTAGAGAGAAACCACGTGGTCTGTCATCATAGGTCAGGTGGGCAGCCACTTTGCCACCTCACTTTTTATCTAGTAGCCCTGCTATAAATCCTGTTGCGATCAGACCTAGCTACCTTGCCCTTGAACTTGGACTTCATAAATTTTCTTTCTGTAGCTCCCAGCAGAATGAGAATACTCAAACGAGTTTCATTATTTCTATTGACTCTTCTGCTGCCTGCCTACCAAAGACTTTGGGTAGAAAAGGAAAAATTGAGGCTTTCTTGGGAAATTACTACATTTCAAAGTCAGAAGTTCTCTCTAAAACTGTACCTTCTGTGTATCTTTCTTCAAATGAATAACTAGCTGTATTATTTAACAACTAGTCCTCTTTCCCTTCCTGACTATCAGTATAGAACCTCTTCCAGGACTAGGTTCAGTGGCCAGGGCAGTGTGTAAAATACATTAAGTTGACTTGGTTTTAGAACAAATGATGATGTTCTTGGGACAGCTTTTAAACTTTGAATGTTGCTAAGTTGTTTGACCTCTTAACATAAACTTTTTGGTAGAGGATCTGTCTTGATATACCACTGTATTCGTTTTCTAGGACTGCCACACAAAGTCCTGGAGATTAATTTGTTTGAACAACCAAAATATATTTTTGTACAACTCTAGAGGCCAGAAGTGTGCAGTCACAGTGTGGGCAGTTGGTTTCTTCTGTAGGTGATCAGAAGAGGATGTGTGCCATCTTACTGTAGAGGACTGTCGTAGCTTCCCTCGTGAATGTGTCTGTGTCCGCGTATCTTCTTTCTATAAGGACACCAGTCATAACTGACTTACAGCGCACCCAGCGCACTTTAACCTAGTTACCTAAACATCTTACCTTTTAAGATCTTTAGGTAACTGTCTTATCTCCAAGATCTTATCTCCAAGCCCAGTCACATTCTGAGGTACTAAAATTGAAGACTTCCAAGCCCAGTCACATTCTGAGGTACTAAAATTGAAGACTTCAATATATGAATTTTTGTGTGTAACTTAAAGCCCATACTTAGCCCATAACATCAGTCTAATGAAAATGTAAAATCATTGCAAATATTTGTTAATGTAATCATTGAGTAAATAATTGAGCACTCTATATAGCAGGTAATACCATTGGTGCTAAGATTCAGTGGGGACCAAAACCAGTTTAAAGTCTGGGGAGGCATCCTGGTCTTACATAAACATGTAATTGTGGCTTATTTATAATAAGTGCACTGTGGTAGGGACAGGGTAAGGTATTCGGCAGTTTTCTTCAGATTTATGTTTATAGACCTCCAGGGTAATATGTAAGTATTCCTTCTGATGATATCAGTGGGTAACTAATACTGTAAACCAGGGAGACCTAAAGAGAAAGTATGGTCTGATAGCCAAGGCGTAGTTTGGGAGAGACATGTATTTCTGGATTCAAATCCCACCTGAATACCTTACTGTATCTGTTATTTTGGATGAATTACTTCTTTCAGCCTTAGCTTCTTATCTCTAGAATATATCCAGCAAACCAGGGGATGAGAGTTGATGTAAGGATAAAATTAGGTAACATAGAAAGAAATCCCTTGGACTTCTCTCTTACATAGAAAGTACTTGGGTTTCCTTTATTGTTCTACCACCATACCTTGCTTTATTTATAGCTCAG